CGAAAGGGAGCACATTTTATCCCGAACACTACGACGTTGATGATAAAGGTTCGAACCTTACCTTCATGATACCACGGAATCTTCTGAAACTTTCTGTCGTCTGGATGGATCCAGATTTGCCTATACATTTTTTCTATGTGCGCAGTTATGACGAAAGATAACGTGCGAAATCGCAAGATTTGTTGCAAAAGGGTGTCCTGAATGGTGGGCCCGGTCAATAAGATATCATTTAATGAAATACTGGTCGATGTTTTCACCGACGCGTCGAACACTACCTTACATTTACTCGTTTCGCTTAATTCCTTTCAACGACGTGATGGGGTAAATAATACCCGTCCTCGACGTCGTCCTCGGACAGCATGTGACCTAAATTTAAGTATCCTTGAATTTCCTTTTCGTACTCAGCCTGAAATACAGTATTGGCGCGAAACTTTGTCTCCAACGCTCTGAGTCGCTGCAACGCTCGATATCTCGATGATCCTAATTCGAAAGTTTCCGGTCAAAAAAGTAAACGGACAGTGTAACGGCCTGAGCTATCACGAGTGGTGGTCTTCTTATAGGGTTCCTCGCAGATCACGTCGTCGAGAGCCTTGACAGGTCGATAGTCAAGATACTTAACAGCCATGAATCGTTCCAGGAACTGGTCCAGCTTTACAGCATTGCATGAGACGGTGCTGAGAGTTCCTGGGGCATCGAACCTCCAGCCGCTACCCAGCCAAACGATGTCTTCTGGAGCGTGATCTGTGACTTCTCGTTACCTAACTTATTCTGACCTATCGCGAGGGACGACATCGTAGGACCTGAAGCTAATAAGATGTCGATGGACCTGGGTACGTGAAATTGGGGGTCTGCTAGTTTGAGATTTTTTGGGATGTCGAATTGTTCGCGAGGAAATGCCTCATTGGGTACTCTATCGGTGATTTTGGGTACTATCAGGAAATTTAATTGGTGTTTTTAGTTGTTATACGTTGAATGGAAAGTAGTCTCGGTATACCTTTCTGCAATCGTAGTTGCGTTGCTAACTGCTGCGATGTCAACGAAGCATTGATTAGTCGGTAACTGTAAATGGCTGAGAAACCTATGGGTCATTAGGTTGGCGTTAGAACAAGAATCTAACAGTGCGCGTGCCGCGAAACTGTTTCCTTGACTTGTGAGGAATCGTAGTACTGCTGTGGTCATGAGCCGCGAGTCTGGTAGATACGTGTTCGGAGCGTAAGTCTGACACAGAATGGGTCATAATCGAGCAGTTCCGGATGATGTAGGGTCTTTCGCGGGCCGATGGTGTTCCGGTTTAGATGATTTGGATTCTACCTTGGGATTCTTGTTGTTCCTATTAGAATGAAGAAGCGTGTGATGATCCCTTTGGCACTTCTTGCATTTTTTCTTGCTGGAGCAGGGAGGGGGATAAGCGCCGAGGCAGTTCTTGCAGAGTTTGTTTGTCTTCACAATGTCCCACATTTCTCCGATTCTAAGAGCGTTGAAAGCGGGGCATTTGTATAGTTGATGAGATTGACCGCACTTGACGCAGGTGGTAGTTGGAGTGTTGGCAGTTTTCGCGAGTGTTCGCGTGCCTATTTTTATGATTTTACGTTGGGGAATGTTGTCGCTGTCTCTTGCCCTATTCTTTGTTGAACGTGGATTTTGAAGCAGATTGTTTACTTGGCGAAGTTTGAAAATAGTATCTTGTACGTAATCGTATAATTCGTCGAGTTTGGGAATTTGATTACCCGACAAACAGTCTAACCAACGCGAGACTACACTCTGGGGTAAGCATTTCTCGAGGAGACGAATAATGAATTCGTCGCCAACAGTCACTTCGAGTGATTTTAATATCGTAACGTGCTGACGAGCTGAATACATTAGATATGCGAGAAGCTCTGACTTTGCTTCCTTCAACTTCGGCAGATCAAATAGGAAATCAATGTGGTCGTTTACCACGATGCGCCTTTAGTCGTAGGCGTCACACAACGCTTCCCAGGATAGGGGGTAATTTTTCTCGCTGGGCGGGAACTCCCCAATTATAACCGCGGCTACACCTTTCAATTAAGTGTGCTTAGTGTACCCGTCGTATTCTGGGTGATCGTGTACGAGTGCTTGGAAGCTATTCTTCCACGTGGTCCAATTTTCATGTCGGCCGTCAAATTTCGGGATCTTGTCTCGGGCGCGAGTCTTGCTACGCGTGTCTCGGAGACCATTGACTGAGCGCTGTGCAGGATGGTTGAGCTTGCGAGAGGAGTGTGAGACATGTTTTTTAATTTTTGAACTTTACTAACGAAGTCGTAGTAAGTTGTTTCGACGTCGGTATATGCAATCGCACGAGAATTATCAAGTTGAATTGAAAGTAATTCTTCGTGATTATACATGTATTCGTTGTCTATAGTCTGCGCTGATTTTTAAGCGCAACTCGACGTTCGTTAAATCTGGATTTTGCTTTGTAGATAATCGCTAAGAGATTTCAACGTTCTTTCGAACGAGTTGCTCTTCTGCACGATGCGCGCGACGCGTTTCTCTATCTCGTCTCCCATTTCTGTGTTTTTTTTTTTAACACTAATTTTGAAATGGGCAATCGATTGGAGCTAAATTTTAGATTTTATTTGAACTGAATTGCTAAATGTAAATAGAGGCTTATTTGCGATCAATTGAAACAGAGTTCTAGATTTAATTCGGCTCAATCGCTAAATGTAAATAAAGGCTTACTCGCGATCAATTGAAACTAAGTTCTAGATTTGATTTGGCTAAATCGCTAAATGTAAATAGAGGCTTATTTGCGATCAATCAAATTGGTTGTATTTCACCTAGCTTTGTCAAGCGACAATGTTAATATCGATAATCAATCCGGCTATTATTTATAAGCCGATGTGCAAGGAAATAGACTTATCTCGCATTTGTCGGTGATGATGTCCTGGCGAGCGCGAGGTCCTCCTGGTCGGAAGCGATGGCAAAGTTCTTTCGGTGATGGCGCCGTAGATTGCGTGTTGCTATACTGCCGCACCGTCGATGACCTTTTGGCGCGAAGCAAGGTGACAAGGTGTCGTATTGCGACAAGTCCATGCGCGCTCTTTTCTAAATGCCTTTGTCCTTTATATGACTCACACACACACACATACATGTGCCGCGCAAAAAGGATCTTGAATTTCATGTTATTATAGTCATTAAATATGTATTTGTTAGTTTAATTTAATTTAAAGTAAATAGTGTTAGTTATTTTACAACAAATAATTATATTGCTAATTCGAATATATAATTGCGTTCGTAACGTATTGAAACAGAGAAGCAAGAATTTGACACTTTGATGACTAATTTTTCACTGAATTATCAATAAATAAAAAATTTAAACAATTAAAATTTATTTTATTTTTTAATTTATTTAAACAATTAAAATTGCGTTGCTAGATAGCGATTCGACTGTATATATCTATAAAATTAATGATAATGATTGTTACGAACTTGCTGATTTTTAAATGGCTAGAAAAGAAATTTTTTATTTATTATTAAAAATTTGATAGTTAAATTAATCGTTTTTATTTTGTGTAACGGAATTATATAAGCCGACTATTCGTTGAAGAATAGTTGCTCGCGGCCGTCCGCACAATATTTATCAAAGGAGGGCTCGGGAGGCACGAATGCTCCCACGACTGAATGGCACACCGAGCGTGTGTGCCAATCGCGCACGAATTGAAGGAAAATCGGGAAAACGAACGGGTTAACGCAATAATATATGACACATATATATATTATTACAAATTTATTAATACGACACAATAAATGAAAATGAAAGAAAAACACACAAATTAATAATTAGACGGAGCACGCACACTCCGTCTCGCAAATCGGCCTAATACAAAAATCGCTAATCCGCTTAACCGGATTATTATCGGCAATCCCTGCCCGATAATCCGCTTAAGCCTAAGCGCCCGCGAACTCAAAACCCGGCAACGGGGGCCGGCATCACTGCCCGACCTGCACCGTTGCACCCGCGAACACCCCGGACATGCAAGAGAGCGAGAGAGAGAGAGAGAGAGAAAGAGAAAACCGGCACCGACCTTCCAACGGCGACCTCAGGCGAAGATGGCCGCTCCCGATCAACGGCTGCGGCCTGCTGCTGCTGCTGATGTTGTTGCTGTTGCTGTTGTTGCTGCAACGGTTGCTGTTGTTGCTGTTGCGGCTGCTCAGCCGCTCGCCGGATCCGCTCACCGAACACGCGCGCGCCGGCGGTACGGGCTTCGCCCTTACCCACGCACACCGGTGCTGGGCGGCAAGGCTTGGCTGGGCGCGACCCAGCCACTCACTCCCCACTCACAACAAAAAAAATGAACCACCGATGCGCGCCCACACACCGGGTGCGCATCCACAAAACAAAAGAAAACGTGGCGAAGCACCGCACCGCTTCCAAAAACCAACGGAAGATCCGAAACGGTGACAAACGAAAAACAAACGCGCGCACGCGATCGGCCAGCTCAAACGAAACTGCCGATTTCCCCCCTCGGCCGCGCTCTCCCCATTCCGCTCGCCCCCCCGCATGACGATCCTGGCAACGGATCGCCAGCTCGTCGGCCGCATCCAGCTCCGCCAACGCCCGCTCGCCGCACCTCAAACAGAGAAAAACCAGGCATGAGAGTGCATACCAACACACTCTCAGCCCGGGTGTAGCGAACGGACGAGAGAGAGACGAAGGAGAAGTCGGCGAGCCGAAATTCTCCGTCACAGCCCCCCCGTAGCAACCGATCCTGTACCAGGATCGGGAGCTATCCCCCGCTCTCATCGTCCGTGCGTCACACCCGGGTTGGGTCCCGAGGACAGGCTCGTCCTGATGGCAATCCTGCCCAGGGAGCCTCGCATCTCGCTGACCACGAGAAAAAAAAAAAAAAATGAATGGAATGGAATGGTGGGTCATCACTACGAAACGGGACAACAAAACAGAAAGAGAAAAAACGAAACCGAATCCATGCGTCATTGCGGGGTTCAGAGCGCCACTTACCTTGGGTCCCGCGTGGCCTCACCTACTGGCCACCCTCACGGGCGGGAGGCTGCGAGACCTGATCAGCCTCCTCCACAAGGCGCAGGCGATCCTCTCGGGACAGCCCGGCAAGGTAAGCCAGGACCCTCACACGAGAGGCCGGCCTCGGCGCCGACGGCACTGGTGACACCGATGGTGGTGAGGGCGTCACCGACGCCACAGGTGGTAGTGGCGTCTCCGGCGCCAAAGATGTTGATGGCGCCGCTTGTGCCGTCGGGAGCACTGGCGGCTCCGTGGTTGGTGAGCCCCGCTCGGCCCGAGCTCGGACCTCAGCCAGAAGCCGGCGTCGAGCCCGACGCCTAGCCGCCACTGAGGTGGGCGATGGCGTGCCCTGCTTGGCGGCGGCGGCTCCGGCCCTGGGCCGAGGCAGCTGACACCGGCTTGCCAGCGCGCCATCGGCGGTCTGATGGTCGACCGCGGTGCACGCCGGAGAGACCCGCTTGGCCTCAATCCCCTTCCTCGTGCGCCGCCCCCCCGCTCGGGTTACAGGGCGAAAATGGCCGTCACCGCAAAGGCGGTAGACGATACCATCATCACCCACGACCCGACGTGAAGACGACGCCGAGGCGGGGACGGACAAACCCGTCTCCAGGGTAGGTGAAGGTGTCGCGGTCGTCGCGGCTTCCGACACCAGACCAACCCGAGCCTCGGATGGAGACGTCGACGGGGCCTTCCCCACCAGTCCCGCGGGTGGAGACGAATCCGAGTTCCCCACAAGAGGGGAACCGGCCCTCACCGTCTCCTTCTGGGGGCACCCAATCTCACCGGACGCGTCCGGCTCCGCCGACGATCGGCACTGAGGAAACTCCTCCTGTCGAGGAGTTGGCTCCTCACCGATGTAGCGGAACTCTACGTCCCTGGTGAAATCAGGCAGCCGCCCAGACCTCTTCTTACGAGACGGTTGAGGGGTCGCCTCCTCCCTGTATCCCGCGGGAGGGTAGAGGCCCCGGCCCCCGGTCGCGACAGTTGGGAGCGCCACACGCTTCGTCCGCTCCGCTTGTACCCCCGACGCCGGGAGGAAACGATACTCGAGAGGGATTTCATCCCTCCTCGAGTGGCCGCGAGATGGACGCGGCTCCCCCCGAATCGCCGGACGCACGTTCCGGGCTCCCGGACACCGTAACTCGGTGCTCGGACCGGGGTTACGTGGCTCAACGAGAGCCTGCAGACCCCGGGTCCGTGCCGTCCGGAGCCCCATGGGCGAGCCCGCGTACAGGCGCTCCACCAGTTTTTCCTGCCGCGGCCCGCGGGCGGCCAGGTTGGCCAGCGCCCTCTGCAACGGCAGTGCCTGGCGAGCTGGGCCGGAGTTGAGACTATTGACCCACTCCGACCTACCCCTCAGTGGAGAGGCCTCCACCGGGACCATCCTGGCCACCAAGGCCTCACTGGCCCGGCGTTCCCGCGCCAGCCGCTCAGCACGCGGCAGAGATCGGACAGCGGAAAACGGCGCCCCGGAAGGAGTCGCCAAGGGAATTGGCTCCTCCCCCAGGTACGCCGCGAGCTCCAATTGCGCGGCTCCGCTGCCGATCTCCAGCGCGTCCCCAGCAGACGCGGACATGGAGGCGTCCTCCACCTCCGGACATGGCTCGCCAGACCCACGAACGGGGAAAGGCCCACTGCCCCAGGGCTCGGAGGGCATCACGGCGGCCACCGAGGCCACACTCCCCCCGAACCACGCAGAACTCACCTCAACGACCGAGTTGGCCACCGGTCTGGCTTCCGCCGCGGCATCACTGCCCGCCGCGGAGCCTTCCAATGGCTCCGGTGTCGAGGCCGGGGCCGACCCCTCACCTCCAGACCCGCTGTCCGTCCCGACGAGGGCTCCCAGCTTGCGGATCTCGTCCGCCAGTGACATGCTGCTGGACCTGTAACCAACCAAATCAACCCAATCTAGAGCCCATCCAATAATCCTCTGCCTGGACATCACAATGACCGCATGCAACACCAGCTCACCATAAACAAGAGCGACGACAAAAACACTCACGATTCGCACGACTGGAAAACGCAAAACTCGACCCACCATTCGCCGACTTACAAACTATTGGCCGTTTCTACACACACGCTGTCGCTCGGTTCGAACGCGGAGGGACATATCGCTTTAACTCCTTCACGTGTACGCGGTCCACCTGCTTCTTGCTATCCGTCGTCAGAATATACAATTCTGGGGACAGCACCTCCAGCACCTTATACGGACCGATATACAAAGGGTCAAGTTTGGCGTTCCTACCTAGCGCTGCGTTGGACAGAGTGTGGGAGCGTCGCAAGACCAAATCTCCCTCTTGGAACTGGACGAACCGGCGGCCACGATCATAGTGGCGCTTCTGCCTGTCCTGCGCCTGCTCAATATGCCTGACCACCAAGCTCCTCAGAGCATTGAGGCGCTTCAGCCGGTCCGCCCACTCCTCAGGAGACAACCGAACAAAAGGGCCCCGCACCTCTACTTCCCTACGCAGGCTCTTCGCTTGACGCGGTTCCCGACCAAAATTGAGGAACGCCGGTGACACCTTTGTACTCGCCTGTACCGCCGTATTTATAGCATGCCGAAACTCGTGCAGGTGCTTATCCCAGTCGCGATGATCATGATCTACAAAAATGGAGATCATGGTCTTCAACGTCTTGATCGCACGTTCACAAAAGTCTGCCTGTTGATGGTAGGGTGGGCAGGGCACGTGTTCAATCCCATACTCTTTGAGTACGGTCATGAAGTCCGCCCCGCAATAGTTCTTACCACTGTCGCTGACCAAATACTCCGGAACTTCCCACCGGAATAAAATAAGTTCCTCGAGCGCACATCCTAACATCTTACCGGTCGCGACTGTCAGTGGTTTGAACTCCACCCATTTCGTAAACAAGTCCTGGAAAACCACCAGGTACTTGTAACGATTTTTGCTGCGGGGCAGTTAGACAACATCCGTGGCAATCACTGCCCACGGACGCTCCACCACACGCTTGCTCATCAGTCCTTGTGGCGCGCGTTGTTCTAGTTTGTACCTCTGGCAGGCCGTGCAAGACTGCACAAAACCCTGCACGTCAAACCACATGCCAGGCCAGAAGTACTCGCGCGCTATGCGATCGTACGTTTTCTCGCGTCCGAAATGTCCGGTCGACGGTTCGCAATGAGCATCCCGCATCACACGTTCTCGATGCTCACCCGGAACTACGAGTCGCCAGCACTGCTCCTTATGAGTCACTGGATCTAGGAGTTCATTCGTGCCGTACTTGTACAGCATTCCGTCCTCAACCTTCCACCCGCGGTACTTAAGTGGACGCGCTTCCACGTCCTTCATCCGCTGAAGGTACCACGGGTCGTTGATGACTTCGAATGCTGCAGCCTCCACGTCGCTCCCAAACCCACGAGACAACGCATCAGGGACATGGTGGAGTGTCCCCTTGCGATACACCAGCTCGAAGTCCCATTGCTGCAACTCGAGGATCCAGCGGGCCAGACGTCCCGTCGGATCCTTCTTGTTCTTCAACCAGGTCAGAGCCGTATGATCGGTGACTGCAATAAAATGCGCGCCCTCGATGTACGGTCTGAACTTCTGGATTCCGAACAGCAGCCCTAGGCACTCAAGCTCGGACACGGTGTAATTTTTCTCATGCTCATTAAGCATGCGACTCGCGTAACATATCGGGTGATCGTACCCTTCGTCGTCCTTTTGCATCAGGCAAGCACCCAGTGCATAAGACGACGCGTCGCAGTGCACGTAGAACGGCCGGCAAAAATCCGGTCGCACAAGCACGGGAGCTTCCGTAAGAGCTCGCTTGAGCGCATCGAACGCTCGTTGCTGCTCGAAGTCCCAGTGCCATGCTTCGCCCTTGTGCAACAGCTTCGTTAAGGGTACTTTCAGATGTGACTCATGCTCGATGAACCTGGAGTACCATCCACACATCCCCAGGAAACGACGCAGCTGTTTGATGTTCTGCGGGGCTGGAAAGTCCAGCACAGGCTGAACTCGATCAGAGTCAGGCCACAGCCCACCCTCGTCGAGAAGATATCCCAGGAACGTGACCCTGGAGCAACCAAATTCACTCTTCTCGACGTTGATCTCCAGCCCCGCCCGGACCATGCGCTCCAGCGCCTTCTCGAGCCACACCAAGTGATCCTCGAACGTTTCCGTGACTATGATCACATCGTCGAGGTACTTGAATACATGCGGCTCGAAATCTGGTCCGAACAGCGCGTCCATCAAGCGCATGAAGGTTGCGGGAGCGTTGACCAGACCAAAAATCATCCGGTTACACTCCCAGAGCCCGCAACCCGGCGCACCAAACGCCGTGTACTTTCTACTATCTTCCTGCAAGGGCACCTGTAAATAGGCACTCTTGAGGTCGATCTTAGAAATGTACCGGGCTCCTCGCAACCTATCGAGGATCACATCTACCCCCGGCATGGGGTAAGCATCGATCCGAGTGGTCTTGTTCACCGGCCTCAGGTCGATGCACAAACGGTAGCTACCATCGTGCTTTTTCACGACCACCGGTGCACTGCACCACTCGCTCTGAGACGGACGTATCACTCCTTTCTGATACCAGTCCTGAATCTCCTGGCGAATAAACTCCGTGACCTGCGGAGAGTACCTGCGCATCGGCGTCTTAATTGGCCTGGCACCTTGCACATCGATGACGTGCTCGATAAGGTCCGTTTGCGCAGGGGACCTCTCCGGCACCACTCGCCGCACCAACGTCTCAACCTGGAGTCGTTGGGGCTCCTGCAGTGCCGAAAGTCCTCCTACCTCCGCGGTCAATTGGAGCTTTCCTGGTTGGTCGGGAAAGTACACCCGGCCATCTTGCCATTGGGCAAAATCATGCCAACTCTCCCGACCTGCGACACTCCATGCATTATGTTCGGCATCCATACGGAAACCAAACGCACGGATGAAGTCCTGTCCAAGGAGCATATCGTACTGCAATCCCTGCTCGCACGCATACGCCTCAATGGACCGGACCACAGTGTCGATCTCGATCACCAGCCTCAGTTTTCCTACCATACTGACTGATGTACCCGAGAAACCATTTACTGCTCCCGGAGTTTTCCTCACCTGAGCCTGGAAGTCTTGCGTGACTCGGCAGCCTACCACTGACACTTGCGCTCCGGTGTCAAACAGCGCACTGTAAGGCTCGCCATTGATGAGCAATATGAGCAGAGGACGGTTCTCCGTTACCATGTCAACTGCGGGATCTCCGTTGTCAGAGGCGCCCGGGCAACCCGTTGTGTCACTCACAACGCCCACCCCCGCCGGAACCGACGAAGCTTTCAGCTCTCTCGTCGCGTTTCTCACGCACGGGGAAGCCTCTGTACCCGGCACCTCGCGTCCACGCAGTTGACCTGTCCGCTCTAAGGACCCCTGCAAGGTCTGACAACCGGGGGCAACTTGCTGCGATTGCTCGCTCGCAAGTCGCCTCACACACAGTTGCGACCTAGGGCTCCCCTGCTCACCTCGCACTTCCTGGGACTCGCTTCCGTCAGCCACCTGCCAACGGCTCTCGAGTCGCCGGCTCAGTTGTCGCCAGTATTCATACGTCTCAGGCCCCGGATCTTCTTGGGGTCTTACGCGTATGTCCCATCCGCTGTGCTCCACGCCGGCTGCCCTCTGCGAGTTATGGCGGAGAGCGTAGGGCCACCGTTCCCCGCTGGCCTGTTTTCCGCCATCCGACGAATCGGCTCGCAGTTGATGCACGTGCGAAACGTGCAGTTGGGCGCCTGGCAGTTTTGGCACGACTCGACCGGGGCTCCAAAGGGGCAGCTGGGGGCATAATGGCCCACCCGGTTGCATCGGTAGCACACAGGTGCTCCGCGAGCCTGGTCGTTCTGGCGGCCAGTATTATGCGGGCACTGTGACCGTCTATGTCCCTCCCCGTTGCAACCAAAACAACGACCTCGAAACGGGGATGGACCCTGGCCGCCTCCAGAACTTGCGCCACCTTGTCCCTGCTGCAGGACTACAGCTCGCGCTGGAGCCTGCAGGGACGGCGCTGCTCGCGGGTTCGTGCCCCCACCGGCAACCTTCCCTTGGGCCTGGGCGTTGGGATAACGCCCGGGTGCTGAGTGCATCACTGCACTCGCCATGCACCCCTCAGCCCCCGAACCGCCACACGACGAACGCCCCGAAACCGGTGCTCCCGAGGACTTGGCAGCCTTGCTCTTCTTCTTCTTCTGCTTCGGCTTGCTGGCCGGCTGCTCCTTGGAGGTTTGGGAGACCTCGACGGCAATCTCTGCAACGTGGGTCTTCCTCGCTTTCCCTCGGTACGCAGCATCCTCCACCAGCAAGTTATCCTTGGCAGAAGGTGGGTGCCATCTCCTCTCGCGATCCTGGTGCCTTTCCAACCTGTCTCCATAATAACGGAGATCGCGGAGGTCGTGTACGGGTCTATCTCGGAGGTAGCGCCCATACTCCGGGTTCAACCCGGCCATCGCCAATCGCACTTGCCGTCTGTCGGACGGAGGAGGCCGCATCCGCCGCACGATACTCTGGAATGCGGTGAGGTAGTCAGCGATCGACTCATCCTCACCCTGCATCCGGCGGCTCAGCTCACAGTAGAGCTCCTCACGGTCCAACGTCCGGCAGTACTGGTGGCGGAAAGCAACCGCAAAATCGTGGAAGGTGCGCCACCCTCCAAGGTTGTTCGCCAACCAAACCTCCGCGCGATCGGAGAAGATCGCATCCAGGGCCGGGAGCACCTCACAATCGGGGAGGTTATATAACCTCACGCAGCGCTTCAACTTCTCCAGGAAGCGTTCTGCACCCGATCCCGCGGCGCCGTTGAACCGCACGTTCCAGGCCCTAAACGCCGAAATCGCATCGGCGGGCCTGCCATTCAAACGGCCGCGCGACCTCTCCCTGCGCGCGCCTCGATGGCCCGAACGTACGCGCCCCCGACGACACCGGTGATGGCGTCGCCGGTGGCACGCGCTCACGTCAT